CAAAGGTCTAAATACACACGAGACTTTCTGCTATAGACTGAAATGCGATCATGGCTGCGTTACAATATAATAAACAACGCTTACAAACGATACCATCCACCGCAATTGTAACAATTTTTTTGATCAAATATAACAATTCACCTTCGTTGTCTAGACTCACCCAGATCAACAAAGGTCCTTAAACATATTCATAAAACCACATCAACACGATATGAAACATGCACCTCTTAGTATAAGTATATCTCGATCAACAATATATTATACTGTATTTCACAGGTAAGGCCGATAACTTGATCCCAGTTTACAGGCCATTGGAAATGTGCAAAATCCTACTTCGGCTTAAGCACAATGGCCACATGAGATTAGGTTTGTTAGATATGAGGAGCGTTACATGCGAGAATAACAATTGAATGCAAGGAAGTGTATGAAGCAAATGTAAATGATTCTAGAGAGATTTCATAAATGGGAAGAATAATCTCAACCAGTGTGCCGTAGCAAATGCAAACAAATGGAATTAAATAAACTAAACTAATGTCTTCACTACACTCATTAAACATGTGGCCACTATTTAAAATAGTATTAATAATTCCAAGCTTTTGGGGTGGAAACAGAAGGAATTAGAATTGAATGCGTTTTTTTTCAAAAGTATAACGTAATTCAGGGCATCGTGTGTGTATGTACAAAGCGGTGTGAATGCACATTTGTGTATGTATCTACACCACTGCGCATGCCCACTCGTGTGTGGGTGTGTGTACATGGGAGTGTATACTCGTGTATTGTTATAATTTTGTGTCGTACAAAGAATTGAGGGCAACGTGGTAATGAATGCGGCACCACAACAGGGAACTACAGGGATGCGACTCCCCGCTCGTGGTGCTAAATGAATGAAAACAGCGCCACTGAGCAGACAGAGCCCCGCCCCTACAGCTCGTGAGTGTGACGTAGTGAGTGTGACCAGCGGACTGCCACGATGCTGCCAGGTAAGGGTAAACTTGTGTGATGGAGATGCTTCACCTGAAACTCGCCTCCACACGTGTTCGCTATGAACATTGTAGCAATAAGGGACGATCAGTCATCTTTAACATATCAGGTCTTTATTGTTCTGCAAGTATATTAACGTTAAAACTCGTAGAAACACATGCACACTCGTGTGTGAATGTCTCCTCGTCCGTGTTTTTTAAAGGAAGGATATGGTTGCAATAACGTATGATCAGTCATCTTTAAAAACAAAGCAGATCTTTATTAATCTGCAAGCATTTTAAAGTTAAAACTCGCACCTATCCATCACCACCACCCATCAAATTAACACAGCTATAAATATAGATATGTAAATTGACACAAACATAACAGACACACAAATAAACAATCTCTTTCACGACTTAATAATAACATAGTCCATATTGTCCGTGCCAGGCTAGGTGCACACAGACAAATCCATTGCACAATAATTTACATGTAACTCAAATTCACACTTAGTACTACCACCTCACTCACTTAAACATAACTACATAGATTAAGAAAACCATTAATTTAATAGTAAATAAACCAACAAGATGGTGTTTATACGCTTGCAATTTAATGAATGGAATACAAGTTCATAATTCAAATTATACAAACATAAAAAATAATGAATATGAAGCCTGAGGCCGAGGTGTATGGCAGGCCTAACGGCCAGGCCTCCCTTCTGTCCTCGTCGCAGGAATGGCGACATCAAAGAGCACAAAGCAAGGGTGCAAATGTTGAATTTCTGTAGCGTAATTTAGACTGATTAGAGACTACAAACACTACGTACACGATGTAAACACAGCTACACAACGCACACACACTCGCCACACTTTCTCGACAAAACACGAACTGAACACTCTCACTCTGCCACACACTCTGCCACACTCTCTCTTTCTCACTAACTCAATGTCTATCACTAACTCACTGTCTCTCACTACGTCACTGTCTCTCACTAAGTCACTGTCTCTCACTAACTCACTGTCTCTCACTAACTCTCACTAACTCACTGTCTCTCACTAACTCACTGTCTCTCACTCACTCACTGTCTCTCACTAACTCACTGTCTCTCACTAACTCACTGTCTCTCACTAACTCACTGTCTCTCACTAACTCACTGTCTCATTCTATCACACTCACTGACTCACTCTGCCACACTCACTCAAGCTCTAACGCACTCAATCTCACACACACTTATTCACTCACACCCACTCAATCAATCTCTCACCCACTCACTCAATCTCTCACCCACTCACCCACTCGCTAATCTCTCACCCACTCACCCACTCACTCACCCACTCACCCACCCATTCACTCACCCACTCACCCACCCACTCACTCACCCACTCACCCACTCACTCAATCTCTCACCCACTCACCCACCCACTCACTCATTCTCTCACCTAATCACTCACTCAATCTCTCACCCACACACTCAATCTCTCACCCACCCACTCACCCATTCACTCACCCACTCACCCATTCACTCACCCACTCACTCACCCACTCACCCATTCACTCACCCACTCACCCATTCACTCACCCACCCACTCACCCATTCACTCACCCACTCACCCATTCACTCACCCACTCACTCACCCACTCACCCATTCACTCACCCATTCACTCACCCACTCACTCACCCACTCACCCATTCACTCACCCACTCACCCATTCACTCACCCACCCACTCACTCAATCTCTCACCCACTCACCCATTCACTCACCCACTCACCCACCCACCCACTCACTCACCCACTCACTCACTCACCACTCACCCACCCACTCACCCATTCACTCAATCTCTCACCCACCCACGCACCCACTCACTCAATCTCTCACCCACTCACCTAATCTCTCACCCACTCACCTAATCTCTCACCCACTCACCCATTCACTCACTCACCCACCCTCTCACCCACTCACTCAATCTCTCACCCACTCACCCATTCACTCACCCTCGCTGTGTAGACCACGGAGTCTGAAGTCGAACCCAAGCCCTGCTGTTTCCGGTCCCGCGCACAACCAGCACTGCACCACGTGATGCGCCAGCCGGGATCGTGGGGGGCGGAGCCTCGCCCTAGTGACGTCACCTCTGTTACGTCACAGCCACGCCTCCACCCACAGTCGAGAGGAATGCACACGAGGGAGCAGCAGAAGAAGCCTTTTGAGAGCGAATCCTCAACGAGGTGAGCGACCCTGTTGATTTTACATTTCGACCACAAACTAAAGCTTCATTACTTTTATATGTTCATAATTCAATTTTCAGCAATCAAATTAGAAAAAAACGCCACTTTTTTCAAATTTTCTTGCTGTGGATTTCACACCTGATGACGATTGCTTGTGTTGCAGTCGAAACGTCGTGATAATTTTATTGTTTTATATTTTTATTATTTTATTGTTTCCCTTCTATGTGACTTCACTGAAAGAACCAAGAATATGAATCCCTGCAGTCACGAAAGCTTTAATTAAAAATTCTAATTAGAACTGTTAGATAGGATACTTGGCATTCTCTGAAATGTTGCTGTTACTGTCGTTGTTTAGACCCCAAGCGAGTCAGCATTTAAAACAAGCTTAACTAATCCGTTTAAATCTCATAGAATATTAATAACATGTATACAATTATTGTGTTCTGATTGCTGGTACAATTGTGCCCTACATTACATGTATTGAATGTTATTCAACATATGAGGAGGAGTCTGCCTTTAAGTTCAGACCCTAGCCACTGCCATAGTTGCCTCCAATCTGTGATGTCACAGCCACATGGGTGGTACCTCTGACATCAAGTGACCTACGACGTCATGCTCGTATTATAACAAATAATTAAAGTATGGTCATATGACCCTAATGACCCACAAGGCATATGGGTCCTCTATCAAGCAGTCGATTAATACAAATGGGCTGTACATGAACATGCATGTCGGGATTAGAGGTGAAATATCATTGTTAAGTCTGGTGATTATGTTTAATGGAATAGGCAGTTGGAATAAACATGTTCGTGTGGGTGGATGAGTGAGTGATCGGGCGCACACATGAGTGGGAAAACAAGCGAGTGAGTGGGCTTTTAAAGCAACAGTCACGATAGTCTTCTTGATTCTATCGGTAAAGTCACGTAGAAAGAAAATAATAAAATGATAAAAATAAAACATAATAAAATACAATGCTCACGACGTTTCGGCCACAACGCAAGCAGCCGTCCTCAGGTGAAGAATAGGGCTGTCGAAAAGACAGCGTCTGAATGAACACCACCAAGCTTGGCAGCGTATATTTAAGCTGGGTTAGAGTGGGAAGGGCGCCTTGACAAAGGTATTTGCATATCAACAGATGAATTTAGCATATTTATGGAAAATGTATATATGGGATTAGTCACTACTTGTGAAATGCGTAGGAGGTGGGGGGGGGGGGGTCTCAAAGTCATATTATGCCATTGCATTATGTAGGATTAGCAGCAACAACAAAAGTCACGATAGTGTTTTAGTTTTGAAGCTTTCGTGACTGCAAGGATTCATACTCTTAGGTTTTTTTTCGGTAAAGTCACGTAGGGAAAAAAAAATTAGCTTTTACAATATTTATAATAATATGAATAAAAAAGAATAACTCACGACGTTTCGGAGGCAACACAAGCTTCCTTCATCAGGTGTAAAAAGGCACAGCAAAATAACTGTAGAATAACTGTAACATAACTGTAGTTATTTTGCCTTTTTACACCTAACTACAGTTATTTTGCTGTGCCTTTTTACACCTGATGAAGGAAGCTTGTGTTGCCTCCGAAACGTCGTGATATATTATTTTATTTCTATTATTATTTATATTTTTATCATTAATTATTTTTATTATTTATCTATTTTTACCTACGTGACTTTACCGAAAAAAACCTAAGAGTATAGTCACGATAGTGATTGGATTGATACAATGAGTGGTCAAATATGTATTAATTAGGAGGATGAGTGATTCAAAAGTTTGCTAAATCTGAGCGTTGTTCCAACCTCCCCAGGCCATCCAACTTCAAACAAAATCTACTCGTTCCCAACAACATGGACAGACAAATCACGTGGGCTGAGATCTTGGATGAATATGAGGGTAAGTCCCAGATACCTGCATCACATGGATTATATGCGGAGGAGGAGACTCCTTGATGAATTACTTTTCGTAGACATGGCTTGGTGGTAATGGGAAGACGTAATGATCGAGTGTGGCAAAGAGGATGGGTTTATATTTGAGTTGTTGCCATCTTTGTTCAAACTGGGGTCTCAAGCTTATGTAATTTACGATCTCTCCGCCCCCGCCCCCTCTGTATATTTAAGGCCTCGTCACAGAGACGACCTCTCTCTTTCTGCCAATACGTGTTCTCTCTCTGCGTGTCTTTGTGATGTCTGTCTGCTTGTGTGTCTGTCTATAGTTTTCTGGTTAGATTTTTGTTGCTATTTATTTTATACCTGATGATGATTGCTTGTGTTGCAATCGAAACGTCGTAGTATGCTATTATTTAATTTATTATTTTATCTTTATACGTGACTTAACCTAAAGAACCAAAGAATAATTCCTCCAGTCACGAAAGCTCCAAAATTGAGATTGCCGACAAAAACATGACTTGTAAAGTTTTACTGCCATGTGATGACTATTTTTCAATAGCAGGTCCTGTTGTGTGGTAAGCGGTAATTACTGGGATCTCAAAATTAGTTCTGTGAGACTCCATGTCCTTCGTTCTCTAATTAATAACTCGTACTTTGAATGCATTTTCTGTTCTTCATAGCCCGGGAGTCGGCGTGCCAGTCGACCACGTGGGGGGACGTTATGGATAAGGTGGACCCTTTCCCAGGCCAAAGTTACAAGAATCGCTCCCCAAAGGTGTGTATGGGTTCTAGATTTGAAGCTTTCGTGACTGCAAGGATTCATACTCTTAGTTATTTCGGTAAAGTCACGTAGGTATAAAATGAAATAAAAATTAATAAAAATAAAATAATAAAAATCACGACGTTTCGGAGGCAACACAAGTCTCCGTCCCAGGTGGGACCGTCACAGCTGAATTTGCTGTATCAAGTGAGGCAGGGATTCCAAGATGCAAGTTCTTAAATACAAGTTAAGGAGGGAGGAGGGGGGAGGAGCTTATCAGAATGTGGTAGCCAATGAATGGAACGTATTGGGAGGGGGGGCGGGGCTAAAAGAGAGCACGATGTGTATGGGGTCTGTGGGGTTAAAACACACGACATTCTCTCGACAACGAGCACACCATGTCACCTCACCAGCACACCAAAATATCACGACACCAACTCTCCCCATCACCTTCTCATCACACTACACGACCACCAATTCAATACACCATATTAGAGCCTCATCATGCCTCTATACCATCACAATACACCATCTCTCTAGAACATTCCACTACTTCTCCTCTCCATATCGCAACACCATGTCCCGACACCATCACCGCATCTCTTCACCGTCCCGCTCATGCAGGCACTTGAAGTGGCCATTTATTACCAATGAAGACAGAATGATATCAGGCAGTCACATTAATTATGTCTGTGATTTGATTGGAAGTTACCATTCCAGTTCCAAACTATGGGCGCTGCAGTGAAGTTTGTCCAGAGTTTGGGCTTCCAGATATTTATAATGGGACATTCTGTGAAAACTATTGCCAGTGATGATTATTGCCAACAATTGCTATGAAACCGCCACAATCGAGCAAAGTCTTGAGTGCATGCATGGGGTTTATGGGGATATATGAGGATGTGACATGTATTTTCATTCTATAGGAGTTGGGATATTTAGGGGTTAGTACTACACGTACAATGTGATACAAGTATTGATGGATAAGGCATTGTGTTAACAGCAGGTGATAGTGTATATTCAAGTGTGTACTAAGCAAGTTTGAATGACTGAATGTGGATGGCTGCATCTGTACATACATGTGTGAGTATGTTTTTTTGTTTGGGTTTATGTGCACGTCCACGTTTGCGTGCCTGTGGGTATGAATGTTTTCTTGCATGTGCATGTCTGAATGTTCTTTTGCTTATCTTTGCTTGATCAGAGGATAATTGGGGAGTTGAAGGACGTCAGCGGGATGAAGCATCTCCAGGAAAAGAACCTTAGCAAAGAAAGATGCACCATGGAAGAGGAGCGCCTCTTTGAGGTGCAGCGCATTGCCAGGGCGAAGTGCCGCACAGATGAGAAGTACTTCCGAGACTATCTCCTCAAGAAGCGCCTCATTCAAGTGAAGTACTTCATTGATGAGAAGCATCATCTCGAGATGATGTGTCCTGAGGAGAAGAATCTGGAGGAGGAGGAGAAGTGTCTCGCCAACGTGAAACGCGTCGAGGAGGAGAAGCGCCTTGAGCAGGAGCAGCGCCTTGCCAGCATTGCAACCATCACCACCACCGCTACCGCCGGCAACTCCACCCCCACCCCTGCCACCACCACCGCCACCACCACCACTGCCACCACTGCCACCGCCACCACCACCGCCACCACCACCCCCACTGCCACTGATGCTGTTGCCGCCACTGCCACAAAACCCGCCGCCACCACCACCGCCACCACCGCCACGACCGCCGTCACCACCGCCACCACAGCCACCACCGCCAACGCCACAACTGCCGCCACCGCATCCACCGCCACCACTGCCACTGACGCTGTTGCCGCCACTGCCACAAAACCCTCCGCCACCACTGCCACCTCCACCACTGCCATCACCACCACCGCCGCCACCACCACCACCGCAGTAACCACCACCGCCGCCACCACCGCCGCCACCACCACCGCCACCACCGCCGCCACCGACACCGCCGCCGCCACCACTACCACCGCCGCCACCACCACCACCGCTGCAACCACCACCGCCACCGCATCCACCTCTGACACTCCTGTACAGGGCCCGATTGCTCCAAGCTTTGGAGAAGAGGGCTTCCAAGCAGAGAAGATGGATAAGAAGACAGAGGTGGAACAGGAAGAGGAGAAGGTGGAGGAAGAGGTTGAGGAGGAACAGGAGGAGGGAATGGAGAAGACAGAGAATGGAGAGAAGATGGTGGTGGAGGATGAAGAGGAGGAGATGGAGGACGAGACAAAGCAGGAGGTGGAGGAGGTGCAGGTGGTGGAGGTGGTGATGCAGGGAAAGAAGAGGAAGCGAGGGGGCCTTGCTCGCGTGGCGAGAGCGATCACCTCCCTCCTCCGCCGCGTGCTGCTTTGTGGTGGCATGTCCACCCAGAGCCACTCCTGTAAAGAATAAGGTTCAATACCATTGTTGTTGCTGGCACTTTAAACTTTGTGAAATAAACCCATGATGACACAACATAACGTTGAATTGCTTGCAAGTGTAATAAAGGACTCGTTCACTGGGTCTGTCTCCGTTGTCCTTTATTTGGGTTCTTTACACTTGTCCCACACGGCCCTCGCTCAGAGCCTCCCCGCTTAGCAGCTCGACAGCTGCCTTCGCTCACGTAGCCTTTCGCGCTCCTGCAGCTCCGCTGTGCAGTCCTCCGGATGCTCTCACTGCAGCTCCACCGCTGCTCCCTGTTCCCCCGTGCTCGTCACCGCTGGCCGACGGTGCCGAGTCTTACTGTGTGTGGCGATCTCGCCACTCTCCAACCTCCGCACTGTGTGGCCTCACTCTGTCTCTATTCCCAACACTCTCCCGTTTCTTCCGGTATCTCTCCCTTAAGACCTCATCCCTCTCTCTCACGTGACCTAACTCCTCCCCCCGTGACGTCATATCCGCGAGGCCGTTTATGCCCGCATTACACAAGTATACTACTGTTTGTATGTACATGGATCTGTACTTTTGTGTATGTCCACTCGTGTGTGGGTGTGTGTACATGGGAGTGTATATGTGTACTCGTGTATGATTATGCATTGGAACAAACAAATTGTTTTTATATTGTGTCGTACAAATAATTTAGGGGAAACGTGGTAGGAATGCGCCACCTCAACAGGGAACTACAGGGATGAGACTCCCCGCTCGTGGTGCTAAATGAATGAAAACAGCGCCACTGAGCAGACAGAGCCCCGCCCCTACAGCTCGTGAGTGTAACGTAGTGAGTGTGACCAGCGAACTGCCACGATGCTGCCAGGTAAGGGTAAACTTGTGTGATGGAGATGCTTCACCTGAAACTCGCCTCCACACGTGTTCGCTATGAACATTGTAACAATAAGGGACGATCAGTCATCTTTAACATAGCAGGTCTTTATTGTTCTGCAAGTATATTAGCGTTAAAACTCGTAGAAACACATGCACACTCGTGTGTGAATGTACAACGCTGTATATACAGTCGTGTTTGGATGCACACTCGTGTGTGTATGTCTACTCGTCCGTGTTTTTTTTAAAGGAAAACTATGGTAGCAATAACGTACGATTAGTCATTTTTAAAAACAAATCAGGTCTTTATTAATCTGCAAGAAAGCTCACGTTAATACTCGTATCGAAATCTTTTTTAATACGCATGCTAAAACAGGAAAGGAACTAGGCAAATTATTTCCCAATAGGAATTCAACAGTTAAAATATATTCTTAAAATCAAACACGTAAACGTCGATTTCCCCTTTGATGTCCTTTTAGACTGAAGCCATTCGTCCAAAGTATAAAATTGTTGTCATTCTGAAATCAGTGAACACTTCTGGAACTTAAAGGAAGACATTCATCTGAACACATTTTAGAGCATTCACAACATCACTCTAGCTTGAAGTCCTAGAAATCACCGAAAAAATAGAGAGACACGAATATGACTCTCCAGCCACTCCACTACATAAAGCCATCTCTCAGAATGCAACTGCATGGGGTCGAAAGAGGAATTTCGTTTGGGACTCATGACAACATGTTTGATGATGCCTGTGAAGTGTTGCTGACCGTGAAAATGCTTCCAACACACAGAGCAATCAAACGGTTGTGTTAAAATAATAACACTAGCTTGGAGTAGTGCTGGAAATCACTGATATAATCAATTGCACCTAATAAATTGATCTAACAGAGACACAAACGTGCACATTCCAGGACTTTACCAGAATAATTCAATACTTTGATTATCCAGCAACTCCAGGAGCCATTTCTCATTATCAACCCGCATGGGGTCTAAAGAGGAATTGTCGTCAGGACTCAAAACATCCACGCATCTCTCAGGTTCCACCATGCATAGGTTCGAAAGATGGAATTTTTTTCAGGACTCATTGCAGCATTTTGTTTTTCACCTTTTGATTTCACTTCCCTATCATTGCGGATCTTCTCATGCTTGTTTCGGGGTGATGACCGTGTGAAGATCTGACTTCCTTGCAAATGCCTTCCCACACACAGCGCAATTGAATGGCTTCTCGCCCGTGTGTGTTTTCTGGTGACGATGAAGAATTTTTTTCAGTGAAAATGCCTTCCCACACACAGAGCAATTGAACGGCTTCACGCCCGTGTGTGTATTCTGGTGACTTTGAAGATTTTTTTTCAGTGAAAATGCCTTCCCACAAACAGAGCAATTGAATGGCTTCTCGCCCGTGTGTGTTTTCTGGTGACTGTTAAGAGTTGATTTCCATGCAAATGCCTTCCCACACACAGAGCAATTGAATGGCTTCTCGCCCGTGTGTGTCTTCTGGTGCCTGTGAAGATCTGATTTCCGTGAAAATGACTTCTCACACACAGAACAATTTAACGGCTTTTCACCCGTGTGTGTGTTCTGGTGAGTGTGAAGATTTTGTTTCAGTGAAAATGCCTTCCCACAAAGAGAGCAATTGAACCGCTTCTTGTCAGTGTTAGTGTGGCGCTGTGGAGAGTTTTTCTGCTCCATGTGACTGATTCTTCAGAGCAGAGAAACTGTCGCGGGTGTTGTTGAGAGTTAAAGGCACCCTCTAAGGTGCGTGGATGTGTGGCTTAAATCGCCAAGAAGCAAACTCTTACCAACGTCTAACCGATACACAGTAAGTCGGACTACACACGCGATTACCAGTTTATCCACTAACAAAGACACTTACTTGTTGATGCACGGAGTATCGATGTCCCTGGAACCCGTCTGAAGAGATCGCCACGATCTATCCCGAAGCAAAGTCGCCAACCAGTCGCCAAGCAATCGTGCTCGCCAGGCTGGGTGTCGTGGAAGAAGGGTTATCTGCAGAGCGGGGAGTCGAGCGTTTATGCTCATCAAAATCCCTCTCGAAATGCCCTTGAGGTCTGATTTTAAGCCCTTTATAATTCCGCTCTAGCATCCAAATTCTTTGTTCTCGACTTGGCCTATTATGGAATTTGCATTCAATTGTAAATTTTTACATTAACAATCCGCATATCTAGCAACATAATACGTATGTACATATCACTGAATAATTGTACACTTCCGTTTGAATACGGATGTGCATCTCTATGCATAATTCCATGATTCGTGTTAATTTGCTAATATTCACCCCCCAATGTCCTCTAAACTTCTGCAACTTCTGCAAGTTTAGAGGATGATAAAGTGACATACAGTCTGAAATATCAAAAATTGGTGATCTCGAGATTGATTTAGAATATAGATGTGCAAGTTTATACTGTACTGACTTTGTTTTATAAATATATTTAAGGACAATCGTGTTGAGCGGGGTTCTTCTAGAAAATGAGTGTTTTATATTAAAAATTCTGCCATTTGTTCGCGTAGTCGAACGCAATCCCTTTGTACTTACACTGCTGTGTATGTCCACTCGTGTGTGGGTGTGTGTACATGAGAGTGTATGTGTACTCGTGTATGATTATGTATTGGAACAAACAAATTATTTTTATATTGTGTCGTACAAATAATTGAGGGGCAACGTGGTAGGAATGCGCCACCACAACAGGGAACTACAGGGATGATACTCCCCGCTCGTGGTGCGAAATGAATGAAAACAGCGTAGAAACACATGCACACTCGTGTGTGAATGCACACCGCTGTATATACAGTCGTGTTTGGATGCACACTCGTGTGTGTATGTCTACTCGTCCGTGTTTTTTTAAAGGAAAACTATGGTAGCAATAACGTACGATCAGTCATCTTTAAAAACAGGTCTTTATTAATCTGCAAGAAAGCTCACGTTAATACTCGTATCGAAATCTTTATTAATACGCATGCTCAAACAGGAAAGGAACTAGGCAAATTATTTCCCAATAGGAATTCAACACTTAAAATATATTCTTAAAATCAAACACGTAAACGTCGATTTCCTCTTTGACGTCCTTTTCGACTGAAGCCATTCGTCCAAAGTATAAAATTGTTGTCATTCTGAAATCCGTGAACACTTCTGGAACTTAAAGGAAGACATTCATCTGAACACATTATAGAGCATTCACAACATCACTCTAGCTTGAAGTCCTAGAAATCACCGAAAAATATATATGAGACACGAATACTCCACTACATCAAGCCATATCTCATGATGCAACTGCATGGGGTCGAAAGAGGAATTTCGTTGAGGACTCATGACAACATTTTTACTCTTTGTTTGATGATGCCTGTGAAGTGTTACTGACTGTGAAAATGCTTCCAACACACAGAGCAATCAAACGCTTTTGTTAAAATAATTACACTAGGTTGGAGTAGTGCTGGAAATCACTGATATTATCAATTGCACCTAATACATTGATCTAACAGAGAAACAAACGTGCACATTCCAGGACTTTAACAGAAGTTCTCAGTACTTTGATTATCCAGCCACTCCAGCAGCCATTTCTCATTATCAACCTGCATGGGGTCGAAATAGGAATTGTCGTCAGGGCTCAGTACATCCATGCATCTCTCAGGATCCACCTGCATAGGTTCGAAAGATGCCTTTTTTTCAGGACTCATTGCAGCACTTTGTTTTTCACCTTTTGATTTCACTTCCCTATTTTTGCTGATCTTCTCATGCTTGTTTCGGGGCGATGACCGTGTCATTTCCAACGGAGAACAATTGAATGGATTCTCGCCCTTGTGTGTTTTCTGGTGCCTGTGAAGATATGATTTCCGTGCAAATGCCTTCCAGCACACAGCGCAATTGAATTGCTTCACACCCGAGTGTGTTTTCTGGTGACTGTGAAGATTTGATTTCAGTGAAAATGCCTTCCCAC